TATCGACGACTGGAACTGGCTGGTCTCCCCAACGCATGGCGTCTTTCATCGTCATGGACACGCTTGGAGACACTACGGTCACCGATCAGGTTCCTACTCCTCTAGCCGGAGGTTCCACATGAGGCCGGCATCTCACAGGACGGCTGGGATTAAAAGACCGATGGCAGCCCTTGACGTCGCCGACGCCCTCTCGCTGTCAGGTCCCTTTTGGACCAAGCCACTCCCAGATGATGTATGCCGGGTGACAACTCAGCCACTGCATGGGTTAGAGGAGTTTGTGATTTCGGGGGTGGGCCCACGACAAAAAATGTTGTAGCCTGTCGTAAATTATGACAAAAAATGTTGTAAAATCCTTTACAACAATGACCAAGGAGAACAACAAAAGACTTTGATTGCTGTTTGTGTTGGGATATGACGAAATATGAGTTTTTACGTTCCAAAAAGAAACTATTAAAATATGAAGTTTTTGACACGTACAGTCGGACTTTTGTCGTGATGTCAGGATTCAACGCAAGTATGCCGGATGACGTCTATAACCACACAAAAAGGGAATGACCCTATACAAGTGAGGTATCAATGTTGTGTACGATGCAGTAGGGGATAATACAAGGTGTCCCAAAATTTTGCATTTGACACAGAATCCTCGTAGAAGTCGAATTGAGTTCTGTAAACAAGGGATTTGCCAAGGGAAAATTGTTGAACTCATTTTTGTGATTGAATCATCAATTCAAGCCAAACATTAATCAAATAGGAACAATTTCACTCAAAGTATACCTAGACACAGGAGAACTATTGCTGTGAAAGTGTTGTATAGTCAATTACAAATTTAGATTGCAGAGAGTTTGTTCTGAGCGCTAAAGGCACTCACGATAGAGCACATTTTGCTTTATTCTAACATTCAATCACAAAAGGGCAACAAAACAAATTTACGCCAAGAACAGCACTGCCTTATCTACAAAGGAGTGAGTGATTCGTTGACAATGGGACGTTCTTCATCCGGTGGTCGAAGAGGACGTGTGACTTCTCAGAAAGTCAAGAGCAATTCAAGTTCAACAGTTGTGAAACATCTATTTTCAACAAAAGATGAAAACGATGGAAAGGCAAGGTTGTGGTACAAAGATGCCAAAGAAAGGGTGATCGACTACATCCAAGCTTCCGGAATGAAATACTCCGAAGACATGGTGAAATCGATTTGCAATGGGAAGTAAACCGACTTCAATGCGATTGCTCCAAGATTGAACGCTCCAACTCAAACTGAAGCTGTTGCAAGAGAAACAGAGATGGCCCAAAACAAGATTTTCTATTCTGCAAAGCTCAACAAGAACATGCGAAGATCAGCCTACTTTGAGACAAACAAGAGAACCGTCAAATCAAACATCATGCTAAAGTTTGTGACAAAGGCAATGGATATCAATCTTCAAGGTGAAGCCGATTTCACCACTACTCTTGAAGATCCAATCAAACTCTTGAAACGTATTGAACGATTCATGAAGAAGAGTGCTGATGCTGAATATGACTTCTTGGATTTCTGGGAAGCCAATCAAAAGTTCCTTGCTATGAAATAAGGAACAATAAAAAACTTGATGCATTTCAAGGAACGATTCTTGAGACAGGCTGAAGTCCTACAAGATCTATATGGCGTTGCCTGGTTCCAAGATTTTGCAGTCAAGATGAAAGCGTATGCTGCTTTTGCTAGCACCGATACTGCTGCTCAAGACAAGTTCAAGGATGATATCTTTGAAGCCGTTCTTGCTACAGGATTTCTGTGCAACTGCGATCAAACGAGAACAGCTCCTCTGATGCTGGATCTTCAGACAGACTATTGCAGGGAAGTGGATTACTATCCAAAGACGGTCAGCAAAGCACAAGACATGTTGAAGATTCACATGGATGTGATTAAAAATCCATGAGTGAACCTGTGACAAGGAAAAGACCAACCTAATAAAGGTAAAGGCAAAGGAAAGGGGAACCGAAGGATGGAAAGAAGAAGGCAGCATGTTATGTATGTGGCAACGAAGACCATATGTCTCCAAAATGCCCAGACAGGCTGCTACCAAAGATCCAATGGAAGAATCAGGATCAATATGTTGACTATGGGAAGAAGCTCAATCTTAATCAGATTGGAGCAACTGTCCCAGATACTGTACCAGCTATAGTTCCTGGAGCTTCAGCATCCACAAGTGGAGCATCAAGTGTTGCGGGAAGCGTTAACACACCTTTGCGACTTGCTGGTACTACAGGTAATCAAATGATGCAAGTTCCTTCATGCAGATTCCAACTCAAGGTGGCGGCACTGTGACTGTCCCTTACTCAATGAATGCTAATGGTGAGATTGCGTTCAGTGGAATGCAACTCGGCCATCAAGGATTCAGTGGTGCTCAAAGGAAAGGGGAACCGAAGGATGGAAAGAAGAAGGCAGCATGTTATGTATGTGGCAACGAAGACCATATGTCTCCAAAATGCCCAGACAGGCTGCTACCAAAGATCCAATGGAAGAATCAGGATCAATATGTTGACTATGGGAAGAAGCTCAATCTTAATCAGATTGGAGCAACTGTCCCAGATACTGTACCAGCTATAGTTCCTGGAGCTTCAGCATCCACAAGTGGAGCATCAAGTGTTGCGGGAAGCGTTAACACACCTTTGCGACTTGCTGGTACTACAGGTAATCAAATGATGCAAGTTCCTTCATGCAGATTCCAACTCAAGGTGGCGGCACTGTGACTGTCCCTTACTCAATGAATGCTAATGGTGAGATTGCGTTCAGTGGAATGCAACTCGGCCATCAAGGATTCAGTGGTGCTCAAAGGAAAGGGGAACCGAAGGATGGAAAGAAGAAGGCAGCATGTTATGTATGTGGCAACGAAGACCATATGTCTCCAAAATGCCCAGACAGGCTGCTACCAAAGATCCAATGGAAGAATCAGGATCAATATGTTGACTATGGGAAGAAGCTCAATCTTAATCAGATTGGAGCAACTGTCCCAGATACTGTACCAGCTATAGTTCCTGGAGCTTCAGCATCCACAAGTGGAGCATCAAGTGTTGCGGGAAGCGTTAACACACCTTTGCGACTTGCTGGTACTACAGGTAATCAAATGATGCAAGTTCCTTCATGCAGATTCCAACTCAAGGTGGCGGCACTGTGACTGTCCCTTACTCAATGAATGCTAATGGTGAGATTGCGTTCAGTGGAATGCAACTCGGCCATCAAGGATTCAGTGGTGCTCAAAGGAAAGGGGAACCGAAGGATGGAAAGAAGAAGGCAGCATGTTATGTATGTGGCAACGAAGACCATATGTCTCCAAAATGCCCAGACAGGCTGCTACCAAAGATCCAATGGAAGAATCAGGATCAATATGTTGACTATGGGAAGAAGCTCAATCTTAATCAGATTGGAGCAACTGTCCCAGATACTGTAAGCGAGAAGTGCAATGCACATACTCAATGCTCCAAGCACCAAAAGTCTGAAGTATGCGATCCGATCTGGTCTCATCAAGAACTGTCCTTTCACCAAAGAAGCGATCAATCATGCTGAAGCAATCTTTGGACCTTATGCCTCTAGATTGAAAGGCAAGTCAACAAGACCAACTCCGAAGAAGACGTACGACGACTTCTTCAGTCCACCAGAGGAATTGTATCAACATAATCGATCTATTACCGTCTTTATTGATCACACGGAGATTGAGAATGCTAAGTTTCTCACCTGCATTGATACCACTGTGCGTTATCGCTCATGTATTCCCATGCAGAACCTGAAGACTGACCCTGTATTTGAAGCATTGGATAAGATATTCCGCCGCTACAACAAGGCAGGCTTTCAAGTCAAGACAATCAAGAGTGATCGGGCTTTCATTCCTCCGACGGATGATATGCTAGACAATATGGGTGCTATTGACCCAACTGCAGCTGAAGACCACGAACCTACCGCTGAGCGAAACAATCGGACGCTGAAGGAAAGAGTCAGAGTAGCTCTTGCACAATTACCCTACAAAGTGGTCCCAAAGGTGATCACTGAATGTCTTGGACGTCAAGCCGCCGAGCTAATGAATGTCTTTCCCCAGAAAGACAGTATCTCATCACAATTCAGTCCGCAGCAAACTCATTGATAATTTCAATATCAACTACAAGAGTGACATGGTTGCTGAACTTGGACAATATGCTCATGCAATTGGGACGGGTTCCAACAATTTGATGGAACCCCAAAGTATCAAAGCAATTTACATTGAACCTACGAAGGGACAACGTACTGGGCACCGAGTGCTCAACCTGAATACTAAGAAGATGATTTCCCGACCCAAGGTCGTTGTACTACCCGTTACCGACCAAGTAATCCAGCTTGTTGAAGCTTGGGCTGCTGCCAAGGGTGTTACTTCCATGATTTTTTTCGATAAGAAGAGAGATTTGGAGACATTTCAAGATGGCAATGAAATTGCAGGAGTGGATGACACGGAACAAGGTTACTTAGAAGAAGCCTTTGATCAGGACTATTAACCTGGCCAATTCGATGATTCGATGATATCGATGACTCTGAAAGAGAAGAGCTCTTGGCACATTCAGACAATGATGTCAATGATATGCCAGAACTCACTGTCAGATTCTAAGGAGATGATGAATATGAATCAGACGACAATTGGGGTGATGAAGACGACAAAGAGGAAGAACCTATTGTGGCCGTTTTGGATTACCATCAAGAAAATGTCGATAGAGGAACCGATGAAATTGGGAGCCTCGTTACTGATCTGGAGGACCTACAAGAGCCGTCAGAAGAAGAGATTGTATTTGAGCCTGAAATGCCTCAAGTACCAAAAGTCACTCAATCTGGTGGGCAAACGTATGCGCAAGCTGCAATATCGGGTAAGGGCAAATCTACGGTATGGGCGCAACACAGCAGCTTCTTCCGCTCTCAAGGCAGACAGCATGATCCAAGGGAGGCGTTTATGGTGGACCTTTGACATGCGATCACCCAATGGCGCGACGAGGGGTGCAAAGTGATTGTGGGCGTGGGTGCTAATGAGGATGTCTCCTCATACCAGGATTCCTCTTTTTGCCAGCGACTTCATAGCATAGGATTGGAGGAAGCAATCCTACAACGTCATCCAAGTCGAACTGCAGCAACCCAGCATCGCAACAGACGTGGCAGACCCATTGATGGGATTTTCGCAACTTCCGGAGTGGTGATTAAAGCGGGTGGCTACTATAACTTTGATGAATTTTTCGCCTGTGATCATTGCGGTCTGTAGATCGATATTGACTTGGAACGGTCTCTTGGCAGCTATTGTCCGGAGAAGACACCATATAAGCCTTGCAAATTAACAATGCTTGACACTGCGGCTGTTCAACGCTATCTCCGGCTGGTTCACCAAGGCTATGACGTGTACTCCATTCCATCGCGGTTGGAGCAGCTTCATAGACAATTAACATTAAACAGTGGGATTATGACTGAGAAAATGGAACGCCAGTATAACTGCTTGCACAAGCAGATGTACAATATTCGTCGGAAAGCGGAAGCGAGGTGTCAAAGGGTTACAAATGGGGCTGTCCCGTGGTCTCCCCAGATCCAAAACTTTTGGGACCGCCAGTCCCTCTGGAAGCTACTGCTGAAGGGAAGGAAGCAATGTCGAGTCAGCTCGCGGAAAATCCGTCGCCTTATGAAGAAGACTAAGTTGCCCGACGCGTGGAAGAAGACTACAGTTGAATTGGAGACGGCATTGCGTAATGACAGGAAGGAGTACCTGCATGCCAAGAAAAACCACGCGGTTTCATGGCGCAAGGAGTTCTTGACTGTTCAAGTGAAGAAATCTAAGAAGAAACAATGGACATCGCGCAAGGCTAGGGATCGCTTTTTGAGGTTACGGCGGATGAAGCAACGAGAGGAGGCGAGACGCCGCCGCCGCGCCCAGTCAAAAGGATCTACTGGTGGTTTGCAAGCGATTCAAGTTGAGGAGCAGTTACCTACCGGACAAGTGGATCTGCGAACTCTCACCGACCGGAGACAAGTTGAGCAAGGGTGCATGCAGGAAAATCGCACAAGGTATGACCAGACTCGATCGCCCTATACGACTCCTCCCATGGACAAACCTTTGTATTCAATGTTCATGGGGGCAGACGCAGAGATGAACTCCCACGCACTTCTGGAGGGCCGCCTTCCCCTGCCGGATGAGATTGATTCTTACACGCAGTCATTCCTGGAGCAGTGCCGTTTCCACCAAGGGCACTCTATGATCCCGATGGAAGTGTCGCCGGCCGATCATACTTACTTCTGGTCCTGTAATCCAGAGAATAAGGGCTCGGAACCGCATGGGCTTCATAACGGGCATTTCAAGGCTGGGATTTATTCTCCCATGGTGGCCCAATGCGACGCTCTCTTCCGCCACATACCCTTGACAACTGGGTTTGTCCCTGACAACTGGCGGCATCTGATGAATTTCGCCATTGAAAAGAAGCCAGGCGACTTGCGGCTGACAAAAATGCGTACGATTCAGCTCATGAATTCTGAGTCCCAAGCGAACTACAAGAAACTGGGCCGCCTGGCCATGGCCTACGGCGAAGAACATCACCTCTTGGCCGATGGACAGTGCGGGTCTAGAAAACACCATCAAGCAATCAATCTTGCCCTGTCTAAACGCCTTGTGTGGGACCTTCTGATTCTCCAGCGCCGCTCTGCGGATTGGATTTCAAATGACGCAACGTCGTGTTTTGATCGGGTCGTCCATTGGGTTGCGGTGTTAGCTATGATGCGTCTGGCGATTGCTTGGAATGCGTTGCGCATGATGTTTGACACTCTTGCAATGTCCACGCACCAAGTGCGGACAGGCTTTGGTGACTCTGAAGAGAGCTTTCAGCCCCGTTCCATGGTACCATGGAGGCTGCGGTCCAAGAACACCAACTTGAGACCGGCACCTCCTTCAGACTCTTCTGGCAGGACTAATGCAACACGGCAATTTTGGCGTCAGATACTTGGCTCAAAAGAGTCTGGAAAGAGTTGGAGGACTTGGATATCTATGTTGCTCTTGACACTCCTGTCCTCCCTCTCCGGTGCGAAGGCGATGCCTTGCTCATTGAGGTATTCATGGAGTTGGAAGTGGATCAGGACGCTCTAAAGTGGCTCAACTGGTGCCGTATGTTCCTCCAATTTTGCACCGTCTCCGACATCATGACGGCCGATGGCTGCAGCATACGAGAGTCCATGTGGCATGGGGAACGTGACTACGCTCATCGATCGTCATATCAATGGCCTTGCACTGTCCGGCCCAACAGGAACCACTGGAAGGTGTGGCAGGAACACCTTACTCGAGCACTACTTGTCTCTGACGGACCCCAGCGCCTACTGCGTCATCCTCTGGGCCCATGGATCGATCCTCTCGACAACTGGAGCTGGTTATGGTCTTCTACCCACGGATTGTTCCACCGCCAGGGCCACGGGTGGCAACACTACCGTCACCGTCGCTCCTCCACACGGAGCATTCAATGGGACTATCCCCGTTCTACGCAATTGTCCGGGTGCAAAGGACCACATAACGAGCATACCGACAACGGCGTCAGCTTCTTGCCAGCACCCTTTTGGACCCAACCACTCCCAGCTGACTTGTGCCGAGCTACCGTCCACATTACGTCTTCGCTAGGCACTCTAGCTCTCACCGGCATTGGGACAGCACCGCTTCAGCCGCATCACAACTCTCAACCGTCCTTGCTGGCCGCCTCAGCCAGGGTGACCGAGTATGTTGGCTGGACCCCTGAAGAGATTGAGATCGATGGCTACGAAAGCCTCCTTGCTGCAGCCATACTCGAAGACCGGTTGTGTGCGATCAGCGACGGTTCTTATAAGCTTGGTCTGGGCACGGCAGCAGTTCAACTGCTTCCACATAAGGGTGGCACGGAACGTATTATTGTTCGGTGCCAGACTCCAGGTCTAACTGATGACCAGAGCGCGTACCGGAGTGAATTAATTGGCCTACTGGCCGGTATCATGGTTGTTGATTGGCTCCTGGACCAGTGGGCCCCAACACTTTGATCACCACCCCGCGTTAGGATTGCGTGCAATGGATTTTCGGCGTTGCTCAACACCTTTGGTGACAATTGAGTCGCACCACAACAAGCCCAGTTTGACCTGGTCTCCTTTATCCGGGAGGCACTTGCCCGGTCTAGGGCCTTGTGGGAACCTAGCCACGTGTTTGGTCACCTTGATAAGGCGACATCCTTTTTGTGCCTCTCTTGGTGGTCCAAACGGAATGTGGAAGTGGATGCGTGGGCGGTTGCCTATTGCCACCAGCTCAAAGCTTCACACCGATTGATTGCACCTAACGCTCGTTTCTTTACCGAATTGGCTGCCCTTTACACCGGGGACGTCAAACAGTCGCGATTGAATCCAGAACAGGTCCAGGAACTGGTGGCGCTGCCTGCTCTACGCAAGCGATTGCACGAGCGGCAGACGTCGTTGGACCACAAAGCATGCCGTGGGTATGTGTGGTGTAGGGAAGTTCAAAGTCCGGTGGGGTGCCGCAGACTCAGCTGCATGTCCCTGCGTCGGCGAGTTGGAGGACCACCTTCACGGTCCTTGATGTACGGCGCCCTCAGCGAGTGCGGAATGGGAGCGCTGGACGGCGTCGTTGGACCAATGGTTGGACACCCAAGTCACTGACCCAGCCATCAAACACGCTATCCTCTACCTGCTTCAAGGGGGTCGTGATCCGTCCCTACCTTGCAGTCGGTTGGTTCCGGTTCGTCTTCGCCGTGCTTTCCTCTCCCAACAACGCATGGGCTACCAAGGTTTATTGGAAGGCCGGCTTTCTGTTCAGTGGGCAGCCCTGCAGGAACAGTACCTTCAGTCACAAGGGAGCCAACGCTCTCCGACCTTGTGGGTCTCTCGCCTGTCGCATCAGCTGATCTTGCTTGGATTTCATATGTGGGAACAACGGAACTTGGTGCAACATTCGGAGGACAACGTACAGCTATGCAAACGTAGCCGACACTCTCAGTTTGATATGGGCCCAACCGACCTCCCCAAGGTAGTTCAACGCATGCTCGCTGTGAAACGCCGAACTGTCGTTGGTCGATAGGGAAGAGTGGCCGAAGCTGGTTAGAATGGAAAGCACGGCCTATCGCCGCACTCTGGCGCCCCAACGCCGTATCCTTCACCGCTTCTTCGACCCGGCCCAGGCCCCCTAATCCCGTTTCGAGGAATCAACGCCCCAAATCACCCCGCCTTGTCGCAGGTAGAGCTGGGATCCCCTCGATCCTGACTAGAGCAACTTCTGTCCACCAGATGTCTCCAATGGTTCAAACTAGTTGTTGACTTGTCGCTTCACGGTACTTGACCTTTACAGCCGCTTATCCCACTGGCAATTGTATGCGCTAGATAGCATTCAATCGAATAATGTTTCAGTTATTATTATTGCAATGTCTGGGCTGAACCTTTCTCAAGATCCAAAGAAACCAAGAGAATGGCCTTCAAGCAGGAGTAGCAGTACTGCCAATAAGAACAAGAATTGAGTTGCGACAAGACGCAAGCATCGAGAGAGAGAATTGAAACCGGTGAAGAACAAGTTAAAATCTGGTATTCGTAGCAAAGAAGGAAGAAGCACAGCACAACCTATGTTTCCAACAGATTGGGAATGAGATGAAAGCTGACTATGAAGAGCACGACGCTATTCCGATCGCTTGTTGCATGATGCAGATCAAGGCCAAGTTTTATACTGACGAAGGTCTGAACTTCATCTTACATCAATCAAGGACTGAAGAAGTTTGGTGATGATGGAAAGGATGCTGTGGATAAGGAAGTCCTGAGAGATTGTTTCACTCCCGAATTTGTTAAAGACATGACCGCGTCTGAGCGAAAGAAGGCCCAATCAGCAATGATGTTACTCGCAGAGAAGCAATTCAAAAAGACAATTAAAGGTCGCCTAGTATTCCGAGTCGATGGAACTCGTGAATGGTTATCGCGAGAGGACACTGCAAGTCCAACTGCTTTGCAGAAAGCAATCACCACTACTTGTGTTATTGATGCACACGAAGGTAGAGATATAAGGACGATGGACATGCCTAAAGCTTTCATTCAAACTTATATGCCTGAAGCTAAGGAAGGAGAAGATCGTATCTACATGAAAATCACTGCCATGATGGTCCAGATATTGTTGTATCACCTGACACTTTCTGCAGAATCACTACGAGTCATGAAATGGATGATCGACGCATCATTTGCAGTGCATCCAGATTTCAAGAGCCATACTGGCGGCACTCTGTCCTTTGGAGGAGGTGCAGCTCAAGTGATGTCGAACAAGCAAAAGCTAAACAGCAGAAGCAGTACGGAAGCGGAACTGATTGCTGTTGACAATGTTGTCACGATGATACTATGGACGAAGTTGTTCATGGGGTGGCAAGGGTATCCGATCGAGAAGAATATCTTGTATCAGGATAAAACCAGCCCCTTTTGGCAAACTATAGCGAACACATTTGGATACTTAGCAAAATTTAGGACTGCTAAAAAGTTGAGTGATGAATTTTCTTTGTAATAAGTGAAGTCGATCATATTGACTTCTTGCGAAAGAGGGTGAAAATGACCACAAGGACTTGATAAAAATCAGAGAACAACAAACTGCGGGGTATCCCGGGGAAAAATTTATTGTTCAAAATCTGAAATATATTTAAGGCACGGATTGCCCATTGACATAATTCACACAGTCGACCCCACGTGGTACGGATTTTGTTCAATTGCCGGGTGTTCCACAGATTCTTCAAAACGGAAACTGCGCGCAGAAAAGGCCGGCCAATAGTCAGGGAGATGAGTCAAAATCCAAAACTCCCCTCGAGTGACCCCATAATAAGTTTGTCGGGAGAAAACAATGGAACATGAAAAATATACACTGTAATTACTATCTTAACGAAACTTTTGAATCAGTCGAACTGATCCATTCACAATATCTATGTAGCCATCATACAGGAAAAAATGTACTGGTATTTTTTTGATACATCAGAACTTTTTCCTACGAGAGATGCCACAGGGCTATTGTACCAGAGTTATTTTGAATCACCAGTGAAAATTTCCCTAAGCAATTCATTTAACGAAACTATTTGTGGTACTATTATGTTGTAGGAACTTGTGTAGAGGGACTTGGTGGTCTCACAAAATGTAATTTTATTGTGGACTAGTAGTGTTGGAGAATCGAAAAAAATAAATAAATAAAAAATTCATGTATGTAGAATTCCTACGAATAATCAATACAATTATTCTTGCTGAGCGGGCGATAAACAGCGAAGACTCGTTCAAAATTTTCGGGACCTTGAAAGGGGAATAAAAATTCCAGGGGATTTGCAATTTTGACTCATCTCCCAGTTTCAGGTTCACATGCAACACCCGACAAATGACGTAAAGGACTGTGGGAATTCTGATGTCTTTCAATGGGCGATCCCTGCCTTAAATATATTTTCAGTTTTTTATCATTTTTACAGCAGCGGCCTGTAACTGGGCCAAGTCGCGCCGAGTCAGCTTTCGAGGATGTTGTTCGGACAAAATGATGGGAATAGCATAGTCTTTAATTTATTTGCTGCTTTGGCCAACTGTACTGGGCGTGCGTGCCCCTTTTCATCTGCTTCCGAACCGTTGAGCATTAACAAATGGTCGACTATTTTTGTCCAAATGGACGAAGACGACAAAACGGACAACCTGGATGCTGCAATTTTAAATCGGGGCGGCAAAAAATTGGACGCAAGCTGTTCAAACAATTAATGTCTGTGTCACACAACGACAAAAAAGGGGTCACAAAACACCAGATACGTGTATGATACAGATCTCAAAGCAAAATAATCATGGCAGGTGGGTGATATATGGCATGTCCACAGCATGCAGAAGCTGCCAGAGATGTCTTTGGCGGGCCAAATTGGACTCTACAGACAATAAAGAAGGTGTTAGATAGGGAGATTCACGGTCATGATTGAGTGCAGCTACAGTAGATCTTTGATCGGCAAGACGGGAGACGTATGGGCGTTTCTAGCTCTCCCTTAGTCTCAATTTCCGTCGTGTCAATTGCGGCGCGTCGCTTCAGTGAAGTACACGGTTGGCGGACGGAGCGAAGAGTTTCGACGAAGAGGGCGGAAGATTTGGAGAAGACATTGTTTACAATAGGAGCTTGTGGGATGATGGAGACAATAGAAGCAGCTACAGTAGATCTTTGAAACACATGACGTCAACACAAATTGCAACGGACAACTGGCTGGATGTAGGATTCATCCGATCAAGAGATGTGAAATAATATTGGCTAGTTTTTTAATTATAGAGGTTTTGTCGGTCCAACAAAGTTCGTCCATTGGACGAAGGTGTCCGACAAAGTTCGTCTATTTGAACGCTCCACAAATGGAAATGAATGTTTTGGCAGGCTTGTTTTCAACAAAGCCCAAGCTTTGCATTGCGCAGAGTTTGTCACCGGCATGTCAACCGGCATGTCATCTCTGCTAGACGACCTCTGCGACATCTCTGAGGACATTGCCAGCAAGCCTGCCATTTCAGGCCGCTCCAGGACGGTGTGGTAAAAACGTGTATTTCGAGATTCTCCGATCATCAAAATTTTGTGTTTCCGCATGGAAAAGACGAACGTAAAACATGACCCGTTTGTCCGGACGGACACCCGAAAAAAAGAGAACTTTTAGGGAACTTCCCGGGGATTTTTATGGAGGGTACTTGTAGGGAACTTCCCGGGTACTTTTAGGGAATTTCCCAAATCAGATCGGTAAAGAACACGTAAACAAAATTTGGCATACGGTACTATCTTCAACATCTACTACTTTGTAAGTCAACACCCTTGTAATAACATAACGATTACATTTATATGGTTTATCAGATCCAGCAATAACTGCCAAAAGTTATCCGACAAACGAAACAAAAATGAATACGTTTGAAATGTATTGAAATGTATTGTATTGAAACGTATTGAAATGTATCGAAATGCAATGCCATCAAACGTTATGAACGTAATAATGAGCATGATCGTAAATACGAAATGACATCAAATGTTATGAACATTATGATGAACGGTGCTGAGCAACACCAACGAAAACTGTCACGAATGATGGTGCTGAGCAACACCAACAAAAACTGCCACGAATAGTGCTGAGCAACACCAACGAAAACTGCCACAAATCGTGCTGAGCAACACCAACGAAAACTGCCACAAATCGTGCTGAACAACACCAACGAAAATTGTTACAAATCGTGCTGAACAACACCAACAAAAACTGTTACGAATAAAAGAAATGTGAACTAACAATTTGATGTTTGACATTGATGCAGGCAACATGGCCGCCGTTGTTCCTTTCTTCACCGTACATGACGACATGGTCATCTATGGCATTGACGATGTCACCCTCTTCCAAGGACGCACACAAGCCGAGAGAATTGCTTCCAAAATATTCTCGGACGATTTCACCACGACAATGGACAGCACCATTGACAAACTAAACGAAGAGTTCAAGACCCTCGCAGGATTGACGATTGTGCAAGGACAGATACGCTTAATGCTAGCTATCAAAAAGAACATCCGCGCATTCATCCAATGGTGCAGAGACGAGATTTGCATGGGACGAGACCCTTCCACAACACCATTTCCGTCGTTGATGCAGCCAAACTGCTCAGACGCATGAAAACACAGGAACAATACGTGTATGGATCCAAGTTGATGTCGCAACAAGCCCTACCGCAAGATTTCACCAACGATGTCCAATGGGAAGATTGGTGCCCAACGTTCGAGAACTACCTTCGCACCACACCAGGAAGAGACGGTGTGCCACTGAGCTACATTGTGAGAATGAACAATGCAGGAACGCTCACCCTGCACGAAGATTTCTTGGAAACCTACGTCAACATGGCACCACACGTTGGCGAAGCATACGTCATGGATTACGCCAAAGTCCTGGTTCTTTTCAGCAAGTTTATTTTGGGGAATACAGAAGCTGAAGCGATTCTCCAAGCCATCAACATTGCGGGCAATGGGAGAGCAGCATTCAACGCACTACGTACCCACTACGAAGGCAAAGGAATCCTAGCCAGCGACATTGTCAAAGCCGAACACACCATCAAAGAACTGTGTTGCGTTGGCAAAAAACAAAAAATGAACTGGTCCATGTTTGAACGAATGTTAAAGAAAACGTATGCAACATGCGACAAACATGAGGGGAGAGAAGTCCATTCAGACGCAATGAAACTGCATAGCCTACAAAACAAGGTTACAGCACCATTTCTACAACTGAACAAGACGGCAATCAATACGGAAATTGGCAAACGACCGATGTTGATGACCTTCACTACAGCATTACAAATCTACCGAACTGCAGTGAGAGAAAAGTTTCCCCAGGGAACCAGCAATGCAACCGATAGGGGACGATACTTGGGCGAAACTAGGGCTGACAAACGTCGCAAAGAAGAAGAAATTACTCTGAGTAATGGAGAGAAAATCTGGTACCATCCTAGCTACCGTTTCTCTCGGACACACCTACAAGCGTTTACCAACAAGCAACGCGAGCGTATGGCAAAAGAAATAGCCGCATAAAGAGAAAGTAAAGGATTACCAGCAAGAAGGGCAACGGGACAAGCCGCACAAACGCAACAAGTGGAAACGCAGCTGGCGGAATTGCGAGCCGAAGTAGCATCGATTAGATCCAACAACGTACCTGCTGCAATTTCAGCCGAAGCAGCCCCGCAGCTATCACAAGTGACTATGGGAACGACTGGAACTACAGCAATGGGCGGACGCAACCAACAGGCAAACAACCAACAGGCAAGCGGTAGAACCTGAAACGCGATAAGTGAGATCAGACGAATTGTAAGGGTGATCTCATCCAACACAGCTGCATCCCAGCGACCAGTACAACAACCAACACCAGGAACGACGGCGAGCAATGAAATGGATACTAACGCCGACACTTGTTGCCTTGGCAAGAACTTTGTCATCATGAGCTACACACCAAGATCGGCCGATGTGTAGGCGTACGACCCAGCTCTACCACCAACCAATGTACCAATTGTATCTGGGGCGACCGCTTATGACTGCCCACAGAGCGGCAACACGTTCATATTGATATTCAACGAAGCACTTTACTATGGGAACCGGTTAGATCATTCATTAATCAACCCAAATCAAGTCCGCAAGTTTGGAATTCCCCTATGGGACAATCCGTTTGATGAGATGAGGAATATTGGCATCGAAACTAAGCCGATATTTGTTGCACTCAAGGCAAAGGGAACAAAATTACTATTTGATTCAAGGGCCCCAACTGATCAAGAACTTACAAATTGCCCCCACATTGATATGACGAGCAAGATGCCTTGGAACCCAGGTACCGTACAACTTGGGAAAGTCTCAATTGTCCACGAAGACCCAATAGATGACTCAAGATCAAACAAAGCTGAATTGAGACAATTGGATCCAATCATGCAAGGAATGAACGAATGGCGCACGGTACAACAGACAATAGTCAATGGGGAGAGATTCTTCCAACAAGTTGGACGAATGGACGATGATGCACGATTTGCAGATGTACCTGTGAGGCCGTCCTTTGTATCCACGGAACGACACACCAAAGCAACGGCAGAAAACCTCTCTGAGCGGCTAGGAATCGGTTTGCACAGAGCACGCGCCACCTTAAGATCAACACTACACTGGCCAGGAGGTACTGAGCAGACCGCATGTTCCTAAGACCAAGACTGAAAGGCAAGTTCTCAACCGACACAGCCTATTTCAACCACAAGTCGATACGAGGCAACATCGCAAGCCAGATCTATTTCCACAAGAGCGGTTTCTA